ATCATATTATAGAGTGAAAGCCCTTTTGTTGCAGATTGCTGGTCATAGAATTAAAGTATGCCCGAAGATAAGGTCATCACAAGTGGCTGAATTGCAAAGGAAAATCATTGAAGTCGAGCAGAGGAGTAGAAAAAAGCTTCCAAAAGAGATTCATCTTCCAAGCACCCATGCTTCATATCCTTCATCATCCTCTTCAATTCGAAGTGATGATATTACTGTGAACAAAGGGCCATGCGAGTAAAGAATGGCTTCAGAAGGATCCTCAACGAGTTTCTCCACATAAAAATTTAGAAATTTCAAATATGAGGAAGACATGTTTGAAGCATTATTATCCAAATGAGGAGGAGAGAAGAAGTGTTAATATAGATCTAGCTAATTTTTTTTGTTATTTAGAGGACTTTGGTGACGGAGAGTCCTTGCGTGATAAGTGGAGAATTGATCCAAAAATATGGTGGTTGATACATGGAGTTTCAATACCTCTACTTCAAACAATCGCCATAAAACTGCTTGGTCAAGTTTCATTCTTATCTTGTTGTGAAAGAAATTGGAGCACATACTATTTCATCTAATCAATGAAGAGAAATAAAATTACTCCACAATAGGCTGAAGATTTAATATATGTGCATACAAATTGTTGGCTTCTATCAAGTAAAACTCCTACTTAAATGGAAGAAGATAACAGGATGTGGGGTGTTGCTTGAGATGGATTAGAATCTCTTGATGATTTGGGAATATTAGAAATTGCTGATCTTTCACATGATGAGCCTGAATTGGAAGAAGCTATGATATTAAGATGATATAGAATTTCAAATACAAACCATTGAAGAAGCTAATCCTATCATTCCTTCTATTGAATAGTTGAAACTTCATGTGCTAGACAATTTATGTTTTTATTTTTGTTGTAGTACTTGTACTAGACATTTAATGCTTACTTTTATTTTGATATTATAAGCTACAAGGCTACAAATGATGTTGCTTTCATTTTTTTTTTGTCATTTCAAATATTATGCTTTGATTTTTTTTTCTTTTTTAAATTATAATGTCGTGTCCACGCCGTACCCATATCCTATTTTTTTAAGAACTGACGTGTCCCATATCTGTATCATGTCGTATTCATGTCGCCATATACGTATTGGTGCAACATAGGCGTATCGGCAGTAGAACAATTAATAAGATTATAGTCAAATATTGATTTCCTATACCTTGATCAAATAATATGCTTGATGTGATGATCAAAGTTGCTATATTTTCTAAAATTGCTATGAAGTTATAATGGATGAAGGATCTGAATTAAAACCTTCTTGAAAAATAAAGATGGATTATATCAATGGTAGGTTTTTCCTATTGAATTAAGTATATTATGCCAAGCAATGTTATGATAATTATGAATGACGTTTTTAGACTTTTCATTGCAAAATTTATATATATATAGTAAGACTAGAGAGAGTCCTTTGATTCATCTTAGAAAAATCTTTGAAGGATTTAAAAAGAGTAATATTTGAAATATGAAAAAGTATTGTCTTGTAAAATCTTGTGTGTGTGTATTTTTTTAGATTTTCTAGTTTTAGTGAAGGAATATGTATTAATCATATAAAGTAAAAATAAATTTTTATTGGCCAAAGCTTATATTGATGAGATTTAAAGTTTTTGTTGTTTGACTATATTGTATAGATGGTTTATTATAGGATTTAGTAGTATTATGGCATTAATATCCAACTATCTGAACATGTCGCTTGAAAAAATTTATTGATGTTACTTTTAAAGTTTCTAGCAAATATGTTCATGCCCAAAGTGCATTCCATTAATACTATATTAAAAAATAAATTTTATTTTAATTTAAATGTTATATTACATGATCTCTTAAAAAATATTTTAATTATATAGCTTAATTAAAAATTATATTTGAAATTATTTATTGAATCAGTTGAATTGTTTTGGTAGCAAAATAATTGGAAAATAATATATATATGAGAAAGATAGGCTCCATGGAGATTTTTAGAGATAAGACAACTCTATAAGCAATGATTACTTCAGAATTGGGCTTTACTCTTGATATTCTCTTGACTCCTGTACTTCATGCATGCATAAAAGCAATTTTTATCTTTGATTTCTATTTCTTAGAATTTTAAACATTCTTTGAATTATCTTAAAATTCAAACATGTGAGTTAATATTGATGAAAGCCAATGTACAATTGAGATGTTTTTTTTAATTGAAATGATAGAATTACAGATAGGTAGGATCACATGCCACTTTTTAAATTGCAGTATGAATTAAGGAGAAGGATAGAAATATAAATATGCTTAAATTCTCAAAAATTTAATAATATATTTTAGGTTTCTTTTGATGCTTTAGTTGTATTTGTTGAAGGGTTTCAAGTCAAAAGCAACCTATTGCTTGTTTAGTGAAAATTTTAATGAAGCTATGCAGAAATACTTAACTATGACAACAAGTTCTATACAGTTGTGCAAGCTCTTTGATATTTGTAACATTATCTATTTATTAAAGATTTTGCACTATATTTTGATCATTATGCACTTAAATATCTAAATTTACTTAAGAAACTATAGGACATATATGCACTAAGTTGGTCTAATATATATGAGATTATATATAATTTCTTTTGAAGCACTACGTTGGGTTTAAAAATAAGGATGTTATGTATCAAGTAGAGTTGCTATTATTTTACATAAGATCAAAGTAATTGCTTTTTATTATATCACAAGTGATTATGTTACTTGTAAGAACTACATTTAATACTAAGTTATCAATGCTTGAGAAGAGATTTATGATTATGGGTGAACATCTTATGATAACTAGTCTATGCGCCCTTGATTCATCCTTAAGAGGTTTTTTTATTTTGTATTTTTTTTATAGTTGCATGATTTAAACATGGTGAGGCCTGCAATGGTGGTGAGGCCTGCAATGCTTTATGGTGCCGAATGTTGGCCATTAAAAGAGAAGCATAATACTAAGTTAAGTGTGGCAGAGATGAGAATGCTCAGGTGGATGAGTGGCTTTACCCTTAGAGATAGGATACGAAATGAGCATATATGTGAAAAGGTTGGAGTAGCTCCAGTAGAAGATAAGATTAGAGAGAGTCACCCTAGATGGTTTGGTCAACATAAATTGGCAACCTTCCGATGACCCTGTTAGGAAAGTAGATGTATTAAATTTAACTTATGTTAAGAAAGGTAGAGGCAGATCTAAAAAGACTTGATTAGAAAATATTAGAAATGATCTTTCTCTATTAGATTTAAACGAGAATTTGACTTTTAATAGGACACAATGGAGAAAAATGATTCATTTAGCCGACCACACGTAGTGGGATAAAGGCTTGATGTTGTTGTTGTTGCATGATCTGAACTAAAGGTTTTCTTATTTTGTAATTAGTAAAGTAAGTCATTTTTGTAGAGAGAAAATGATGGCTATGACAAAGTGTGTGTGTGTGTGTGTGTATTATTAGGTGAAGTTAAAAAATGTAGTATGAATAACATCACAATGTAGAGTGTTATACATCTATGAAGAAAATGAAATTACTATAGTATTACGTTCTTATGGCTCTCATGTTATGATTGCTATAAGCAAAATATGATTCTATATTTGTTGTGTTGAATTGATTTTCTAAAATGCCTGATTTTATTTCATATAATAAGATTGTTGATGTCTTATATACAGCTTAATAATATGTTAAGGAGGAGGTTAAATTATATGTTTTATATGAAACTATTTTATATGATAGTGATGTGAACTTTATGCATTATTCAGCTACAATTTGATGGGAAAACTGAAGTGGTTAATAGAGATTTAGGTTATAGATTTTGATTTTGTATCAGCATTCATGCATCTATTTAGGATTTCATATTGACTATAATTGAGTTTGCATATATCTCACCTATTAATAAATGTATATGCTTGAGGTCATTCGAAATAGTCATGGGATTTCAAGATCTAATTGAAATTCCTATTAAATTTAGGCCTAGTGAATTTGCAATCATTTGCATAATATATGCATGATTTGCCTGAAAATATTCACGGAAAATTGATTGTTAATTATGAAAATTATAAGTGTAACGTAGATGTGAGCTTGGATATATAAGATTCAAATAAAGTGATAAGGCATTTGTTTGTGCAAAACGTGAATGGTTTTCCACAAGAACTTAAAAAATTAACTTCTAGAAAAATGAACCATTCTAAAGTCATACAAGTTTGAGACATTTAATCACTAAATCAAGTGTTTTTTTAATAGATTTTTGGTTGGACGGACAAGTACTTCAAGTTTTCTCCGTAAATAACTGGAAGCATAGATATTTTGAGAGAGGCTATCTAATAAGTTTGAGTTTTGATTTGATTATTTATTTTTCTTCAACTCCCTTTAACTCTATTTTGTTTGCTAAACATTTATTTGTTTTGCATGCATTTGATTAATTTTCAAACTTGATAGCGTCAAGATTTTTTGCAGTTATGTGACTTTCATTCAATTGTATGTTCTTTTGTTTTACGAATTTTTGCTAGTTTTTTTTTAAAGCTATTAAATTATCATCTTCATGAATTTCTTCGTATTTTTAGTTTTCAGCTAAGATAGTGAAATATTGACTAAATTAAGAGTTGTTATTTATGAAGTTTTTAATGTTCATGTGATTTTGTGCATCTTAGCATTAGCAAGCCTGGACCATATGAAGGCCTACATTAGTTGTTACCAAGAACTGGAAACTAAAACCTAATGTAGCTCTTGAAAGTAAATGAATGAATTAGACAGCATTAAAAGTATTTAAATAGTGGTGCCATTGATGGCGTTGATTTGTACTTGTTTCAATGAATTTATATTCATATACAAAAACTCTTATTGTTCTATATGTTTTTCCTTTTTATAATTAAAATTTGGTATGGTTTTTCGAATCACCCGCTCACAACATTCTTGGTTCTTTTTTTCCCTTTCTTTTTCTTGTTTTCATTTCTTCTTTTTTTACTCTTCCTATTCAAACTGATTATTTTCCGCAGATCTTGAAACTTTCAGCATGCAAGTGCCTAGAGGATTCTTCTTTGGATGCTCTTTATAATGGAGGTGCACTACCTGCCCTTCGCGAGCTGGATTTGTCTTATTCTTCCATTGGCCAGGCTGCCATTGTTGATCTTCTTGCTTACTGTAGAAATTTAGTCAATGTGAATCTGAATGGATGTGCATGTTTGCATAAACTTGCTTGGGGTTCTACTGAATTCCAGTCAACTGGTATGAAGATTGGTCCTACATTATCAAATTTGCTTCCTCTGGGAAATGGTGACATATCATGCAATAAGTCGGACCATCTTTTGGAGTTTCTCAACTGTACCGGCTGCCCATATCTTAAGAAAGTTGTAATACCGTCAACGGCTTGTTGCTTCCGTTTAACAAAGTTAAATCTGAACCTATCAGCAAATCTAAAAGAGGTTGATCTAGCATGTCCCAATCTCAGCAGTCTCAACTTGAGGTCAGATATAGCCTTTGTTTGGGACGGCTTTCTTACTTCTTCATAAAGCAATTTTTAGTACAAAAATTAAAATTTTTATACTAAAAAGCTGCTTTAAGAAGCAGAAAGAAAGCTTTCCTATTTCTTTAGTTATCTTCCATCAAATAACCTACGTTTTTTCAAAATCTGCTATTGTCTCAAGTTTTTCTACTTTTTGCATCATTCAGCAACTGCAGCTCACTTGAGATTTTGAAGCTTGATTGCCCGCGTTTAACCAATCTCCAACTTTCGGTAAGTTCCTATCCCCACATACTCTTAACCGTCCTACCTTTGTCTTTTAAAATTCTCAGCCAAATATCAAAATACCCGGCAAAACTTTATTATGTTTTTCACTTTTGTCAAATTTTCGACGTTTCCCTTTGTGCCACATGAAAAATGCAAGGATTCTGTGGCTTAAAAAAAGACATCTTTTTGTTGTAGTCATGGATGTTCTCACTTGTCATTTGCAAGAGATGTACCTTGCTGTATGCTTTTTGCTGATGATATTCTTCTTGCTGATAAGACTAGAGAGGGAGTTGAAGGTAAACTTGAATTATGGAGGTCAACCTTAGAGTCTAAAGATTTTCGCTTGAGTAGATCTAAAATTGAATATATGGAGTATAATTTTAGTAGTGATAGACCTAGTTAGGGGATTGTGACTTTGGGCGATCAAGTCATAAGAGTACACATTTTAGATATCTTGGATCTATTCTTCAGAATGATGGTGAAATAGATGGGATATTATTAACAGAATTCAAGTTGGATGTTTGAAGTGGAGGAATGCATCGGGCTTGTTGAGTGATAGAAAAGTACCTCTCAAACTTAAGGAAATTTTCTATAAGATGGTGGTGAGACCTGCAATGCTTTATGCTGCCTAATGTTGGCCATTAAAAGAGAAGCATAATACTAAGTTAGGTGTTGCAGAGATGAGGATGCTCAGGAGGATGAGTGGGTTTACTCTTAGAAATAGGATACAAAATGAACATATACGTGAAAAGGTTGGAGTAGCGCCAGCACAAGATAATATTAGAGAGAGTCGCCTTAGATGGTTTTGTCACATAAAACGGCGGCCTTCCGATGACCCGGTTAGGAAAGTAGGGGTATCATATTTGACTTATGTTACGAAAAGTAAGAGGTAGACCTAAAATGACTTGGTTATAAAATATTAAAAATGATATTTCTTTATCAGATTTAAACCAGAATTTGACTATGAACATGACACAATGGAGAAAAATGATTCATGTAGCCGACCCCACGTAGGCCGACAAAGGCTTGATGTTATTATTGTTGTCGTATTAGCTTTATAAATTAATAAGATTTGAATGTCATGAATGTATTTCCACCTAAAAATCCAGGCATGTAGCATGCTATCAGAAGCAGCAGTGGAAGCTGCTATATCAGGATGCTGCATCTCGGAGCCACCTAATGTCCACTCTTCCACAAGGGTGAGATTGCTCCAAAGAATAACTGGAACTTAATATGTGGCTTTATCTTCCTGGAAACTTTGCCACCGTTAGATCAATCCTTCTGTCTGAAGCTGTTTGTTAATTTTTTTTTGAACTCCTTATTCTGGATGTATATTTATTTCTTCACTTGAACAGATACTATGTGTGTCAGGCTAGCTTATCTGGACTTATCAGCATATAGTTTGCAGCTCTCTACATCTATATTTTAAGCTTTTATTTGAGTTAATTTTTTTCATGGTTTGCTTATTATAAGGAGTGCTATAACATAGTTACTGGTGGTTGTGCTTGTAAGTAGAGGCCAGATTCTGATGTTTGTCTTGTACTTAGCCTTATTTGTCTGTTGTATTGGCTATATATAGTGCAGAAGTGATGTGCATAGTTGTTCACTGTTTTATTTGTCTGTTTTTTTAAGTTATATTTTGATTTGTTAACTAAGGCTCGTTTGAGACGGCTTTCTTATTGCTTCATAAGACAACTTTTTTGTATAAAATTTAAAATTTTTGAACTAAGAAGCTGTTTTAAGTAGTAAGAAAGCCATCCCAAATGAAGTTTAATGTTTCGTTTGAGACAGCTTTTATACTGATGGCTTTCTTTATTAGATTTAACTAAGAATTTGACTTTTAATTGAAAATAATGGTGAAAAAGGATTCATATAGTCAACCCCGCGTAGTGGGACAAAGGCTTGATGTTGTTGTTGTTTCTTTTGGGATTGTTTTTTTTTTTTTCTTCTTCTTAAAATAATTTTTTAATTAAAAATTAAATTTTTTGTACTAAAAAATTGCTTTAAGCAGTAAGAGAGACATTCCAAATGGAGTAATTATTGTGTATGGACATCGAATGTGTCCAAAGATCAATAACAAAGTGTCACATGACTACGGCCCTTGGTACCGTGCTTTGTACAGCACTTGGTACTGCATTCGGTACACTCGTTATTGCTCGGTATTCTGTCCGGACAGAATACTTTTTTCTCCCAAACGAGGCCTAAGCTTATGATTTTCTCTTAAATTCTTTCATATTCTAGTATTCTATATAAGCATGTAATTGGGGGTAAATGATGTGCAGTGTGCCTCATAAATCCATGTTGGCACTGAGAGGAAGTTCATTAAAATCACTCTTTATTCTGCTTAATTTTTTTTTTTTTTTTTTCAGATTATTCTAAAACAATTTATATAAAGATAAGTTTAAAAATTATTAGATTTATTTTAAGAATAATCTGAATATATATATAAATAAGTTTGAAAATTATTAGATTTATTTTAAAAGTAATGCAATATATATAATTAATGTATTATGTTAATATCTAAGCAAATTAAATGATTTTCTTTTTTCTTATAGTTCTATGCCTATCGATCACCATAGCATCTTGTCAATTTTCTTAGAACAAGGCATGGAAGGTTTCTTTGAAGAACCTCATGCAATTTTTTGGGGGATTATGTGCTAATATTTTGTGCATTGAATATACTTTCTATTAATCATTTTGACTAAAAAAATGCAATAATTTTCTTATAAAATGTTTGCAGCTAAAAACAATTAATGTCTCTAAATTTTGATATGTTATAATTATTTTTTAATTTTGCTTGAATTTTTTTTTAAAACTGGAAAAATCATAACAAATAATGCAGAAAGTATGTTCAAAACTCAAATTTTAATTTAATTGATTATTTAGCAGAAATATAGCCTGTTTGATTCAGCTTGAAATTTGTTAGATGAATGATAATATGTAAATCTACAATATTTTATTTTGCATTTTAAACCTTTTTTTTTTTTGCGAGAATTTGGGAGAGAGTATGTTTGAATTAAATTTGTTAATTATCTCAAAAGTTAAAAGATTAGGAGAAATTTATTTATTTAGTGTGCAATCTTATGACTATATAGTGTGCTGGTAACTAGGGTTTTGCTTGGCATAATTTTTTTGTTGTCAATTTTTAGAATAGTTATTTTTTAAACTAACCAAAAAAAAAAAAAAGTCTTTATAAAGTTGTATAAATAAATTTTAAATGTTATGTGTGCAAATCCTCCTAAAACATTATAAAGTGTAACAAGTACAGCAGCTTGCTAAATTGTTTGCCTAGTAAAGCTTACCTGGAGCTTTAAAATTTCCTTCTAGCTTCGTTTGAGATATTTTTCTTGTAGGGTAATGTTATCAACTTCATGCTTTGCCTAATTGTGAGAAAGTTTTAGGCAATTCAAGTTTATTTAAGCTACACTGAAATATATGATCTTGTGCTCATATTGAGCACATGAATGAGTTCACATACATGCAAAGAAAATAATAAATTTCGTCAATAAAAGTTAAAACAAAAAAAGAAAAGAACTTCAATAAATAAACTGGGAAAAATTCGGACTTGCTGTACGGATAAATTATTCAGTGCAGAGGCTGGACGTAGCTCTACGTCTGGAGGCGAATCAGGTGCAGCCAAGTCAGCGGTACCGAGCCATGGTTCCGAGGGGTACCAAGCAGTACCGAGCCGCGGTAGCGAGCGAAGGGGTGATGTGGTGCATTCTGGTTGATCTCTGGACAATATTCGGCGCCCGCACAGAATAATTAAGCGCAACTATGAGGTTTTGAAATAACATTTACATAAGGGATCTACATATCACGTTAATGGTGTAAAAGAACTAAAGTTTAGTTCATTTTCTTAAGAATCTCACAAAAGATTCTAAGGATTTAAGAGGTTCCAAGAAATGCTATAATTAAGAAGCTTATAAGTGTTCGAAGAAATGTACCATGTGGATGAAACTAAGGCTTTGTTTGGGACGGTTTTCTTGTTGCTTCTTAAAGAAATTTCTTAACATAAAAATTAAAATTTTTGCTTTAAAAAGCAAAAAGAAAGTTGTCCCAAACGAAGCCTAAAAGCTTTTAAAGGATTGCTTCCAACTTTTTCAATTCTGGATCTAATTCTTCAGACTTCTTTTCCTCAGTTGGTAAATAAGGAACTCTGTATGAATCAGCAATGGCCTTCCCTTTATCTAGCACTGAAGCTGGTACTGTTTGCAGGAGGCTACAATGATAAAGACCTCCATTGCTTAGTAGATGTCTTCTTATGATCTCTACATTCTCAAGTAAAATTTTTTCAATGAAATTACCTATCCAAGGATTCCAATGCAACATTGATTTTAATTTTCATGGATTTTATAGTGGCCGTTGGATCATTCCTTAATGCATGCAACAGAAGCGAATCAAGATCCTCCAAGGCTCTGTAAGAGAACAAAAGCTAAGAAGAGGAACTATGTTGAATTTAACATTAAATTAAGAATCCATTGCACCATTCAGGATTTATTTGAGGCAACTTTTTCGTCGTTTTGTTTTTCAAACAAGTTTATAATCTTTTCTTTTGGAACGGGGGTATCTACCCGCTGCCACTCACAAGGGAGCACTTGTCAGCATAACTAATCCCTCGGCGAAACCTAGTGAGGCCACCCACCGGCATCAGACCCACACTTGCTTTGCCCCACTGAAGAGGCGAGACCGTAGTGGAATGGATTCGAACCCGGGATGGGGGTAACAACAATAAGAAAATTTTTATCTGATTTTTTAAAAAGTAAAAAATTATAATAATCTTTTAAAAAATTGTTTTTCTTACAACTTCACGACTACTTTTACAACTAGATGTGGCCATCACAAACTCTTAAACTCAAATTTATACTAAAGTGATGAAAATAAATACCTCAAACATCGGTCAACAGCATCAGAAGCTGCTTTGCCTTTGCCATCATCATCAGCATATTGCGCCACCTAAAATTGATAATTTTTTCATGAGGTAGGTGGAAAATGGAGATACCCCATGCATACAACTAATTATAGTAATTATTTGAATGAATATGTGCACAGCTAGCTTATGGCGTGAAAGATTAATAAAACTAAAAGTTTATCAAATAAGTTCTTAAATATAGGTTTCACAACAGTAATTCTTTCTTGATTTTCTAATTTAACATAACATATTTCAGTCAAGATTTGAAGTAGGAAACTTTGAACACAGAAGTATTGCTTTCTTGCTCGACAAGAAACTTCAATCGGTGCCTATTTTATGAGGGGTTTGTTTTTTTGTTTTGAAGGGTGAATCATAATTCATTTTCTTTGGATTTTACTGTTATCGCGAATTGTTCTATAAGAGAGTTAGTATCAAAATGGTCTTTTGAATTTTTATGAAGGATCAAAATGATTTTCAATTATATTAAAGGATATGTTGATCCCTCAAGTCTTTAAAAAGGAATCAAAATAGTCCTGTGATTGGACTATTTTGATTCCTCTTTAAAAAGTTGAGGGACCAAAGTAGACTTTTAATAAATTTGATGATCATTTTGGTCTTTCATAAAGAGCTAAGGGATCATTTTGATCCTTTTCTAGCATTAAATAATGCCAAGCTAAGGCAATCTTAATGCTAGTATTCATAACAACATTCTTAAGGCGCAAACATAACCAAAATTATGGAAAAATTCCAATAAAAAGCCACAACAATAAGATTATGTGTTTATGCTATGCCAAAACTATAGTAATATAAGGAAAAAAATGTTAATCTTATTGGATTAGTACCAAAACTATTGTCTAAAGCTTGTTAGGACGAATAGAAAATCCAAACTATAGGTAAACAAATAAAGATTTAAAACAAATGATTAGTTATTGAACAAGTACCCAACCATAACTCTTTGAAACCATTTTTCTATCCAGCAAAGAATATCATATATGGAAATGTAATAGCTCAACTTATTGACAAGTAATAAGCAACTAAGGAGCAAAGTTATGTCAAACATAAAAGGTTACGGCTTTCGAGATTGCATTGTCAGTTTTCAGAAGACATATTTGCAACATATTGAGGTGGTAATACTGTCAGCAACATTAAAAGATCTATGGACTCACAGCTCTAATATTTACTCGAAGAGATGCAGCTGGACCAGAACGCAGTAAAGATCTACTTATATCATACTTCGGTTGCTCAGCATCCAAAGAATCCTCTGTACAAAAAGACCCATTATGAGGCACATTTGCACATAATATAAGGTTCTATTTATTCGGGGATTTTTACTAAGAAGAAGTTAATGTGGATTTCATTAGGGGAAAGTAGCAATAACAACAGCACTAGACGTACAACCAACAACAAGATGGCATGAAATATTTTAACAAAAAATTTTGAGGAATATAAGAATCGTGAGCAAAATTATTGTGCTTGTGCTTCTAGGCACTTTAAAATAATTTATAATGAGCGAATGGAAGCTAAGAGCCTGAAGTAATAGCCTTCCAATTATATGTGACAAATTTCTTATTGTAAGTATGTAGTAGAAAATATGTTGATGCCTTGTGCCAACACTTGTGCCTCTAGTATTCAATCATGAAATTTTATGGAAATGGAATAAAGGATAAATCATGCAAAAATGCTTTTCTTATAACCGTTATCAAATTTACACAAGAAATGGAAGTAGTCAGTTTGTTGATGGTGTCACCAACCTATACCATTTTGTTGGTCCAACTAATTTATTCATACTGGATGTTAGTCAGACCAGACGATGGAGTTGTCCATATGGTGATTAAATAGTTACCTTAGCTGATGGAGTCAACCAACTAGTGTAAATAGTTGCCCTCCAAAATGGAGTCAAGTAGCCTAAATGATGTTTATTCTGGCTAAAGGTGAGCGCTAGGTTGGTCTAGTAATTCAGGTCATTTCAAGTTTCATCAAAAGAATTAAAAGCCTTGCCCAAAGCTGATTAGATAGGATCAAGAGTTTGGGTATGAGATCAAGCTTTAAGGTGAAGTCGGATCAACCTCACACACACGTAACTAATTCCGTTGGTTTGACAGTTTGAAATTGGGATATTTTGGCTCAAACTAACCCAAGAACACTATTTATTCAATTCAAAAAAACCTTTGAGACAACATAAACCTTTGTGGCAAGGCTATTACTTCAGTCCAAAAATTTATTAGGTCAGCTTGTTCGGGTCTAGCTGATCACCTATCCCTAGCTATAGTTGCTCCCAACCTTCATGTAGTTAACTGACAAATTAGAAGTGGTTAGCCCATTTAACCCAAGTAAGAGTTGATGTTGCAATTGACATATTTGCAATGTGATCTAGTCAACTTAGCAACATGATAAGCCCATTGTAGTTTCTTGTGACCCTATTGATGCAGCACCAAGTTAAAAACCAAGAACAATGTCACAACTAAAATCTGCATCAGGATTTGGGTCATTCATCATGCACAACTCTCCATGCAAACCTCTAGAAAAACCCATAATCTCTTTAAATTATGTGAATAATAAAGAAATTTAAAGTCTCTTAATGGGTAGGAGGGTCATACTAATAAAAGAAGTTAAAATCTTCATAAATTGTATTTTCAGAACCATTATACTCGACTTATTTAGCCTTTTTTTTTGTTTTTCAAAGCTTTAAAATTTATTTTATTTCTCCGATTTCTTTCTTTTATATAGGATAAGTCATCAATTTATGTAATAATATTTAATTCGCTCCTTAAACTTCTCAGATTTATCAAGGCTTGCAAAAGTTCTATAAATAAGGCTTTGTATAGCACTTTTGATTTATTGAATAAAAAATATTTTTGCTTGTGTGAATTTTGTGTGAAAATGTTTGGTAACCACTCTACTCTCCAGTGAAGAAAGTGGTCGATCCTCTGGTTTTTTTGTTAGTCTTTACTTTTTTTTAGCCATTTCTTCTCTTTCCCAACACAATTATCATCTCCTCTACCTAACCTCAAACTTAGTTTCTCTCAAATCCAAAACACATCAAACCCCTTCAAAACTCTCCTAAATATTTGGTCACATCCCCAATAACTTCCCAAGGGCTCAACTCCCAATAACTCTAATACCCTAGCCAAAAGTCCTATATAAAGAGGCAATTTTTGTTGTGAGCAAGTAAATTAAAATATCATAATTCCTTAACTATTGATTCAAAATCCATAAAAAACATCATCATCAATTTACTAACATTTCAAACATTTGATCTGGACTTCCTCCTCATTTTCCTCAAAGAAAAGTTGTCTATTGATAGATTAGAAGTTTAAGTATCAAATATGTCCAAACCCTAAATACTCATTTCACTGTCACCCAAAAAACCCTTCCACCACCACCCTCAAGTAACACCAATCAAGTTGTTGCTGGAGTGTTTGCAGCCTCCTTATCCAGCAAAGAAGTTGTGATGCACATGGATAGGTTCGGATTTGATGAGTTGTCTCTCCTCAATGAAGTGATGCATCTTGACATTTGTAAACTCCTTGAAGTCATTATGGTATCTCATGCATCCTTAACATCTAATGTCATCAGAACATTAAAATTTCAAAACCGTGTCAACACCAAATTCTGACATTTTTTTGACATTGACGCTCGACGCTAGCAATTTCTACACCCACAATCACACCGACGTGCCATTTGAACATCTCATCTTTGTCTACTACCTTTATAACATCAATGACCGACATCATCTTGACATCAATGTCTGATGTCAATTACACAACAATGATGCTCGACTGTTGAGAGCATTGTTGTCTCTTCTCTCGATGCCTAACACGACAACACTTGACTCTCCACATCCTAAAATTAATCATTTTAAGCACAAATCATATTTAAATTACTTATTATTTTTCAATTATTCTTAATATTTTGCTTATTCAATTTTTATACACCATTTTCAAGATATAAAAATTAACATATAGTGTCCAAATCATGTCTTTATCCTATATTTTCAAGGGAAAAGGGGTTATTAAACACTCATTATCCCCTAAAGGAGTGTTTGCAGCCTCCTTATCCAGCAAAGAAGTGGTTAGCCACAAAGATAGATTCGAATTTGGTGAATTGTCTCTCCTTGATGAAGTGGCGCATCTTGACATTTGTAAACTCCTTGCAGTTGTTATGGTATCTCATGCATCCTTAAATATGAGTCCATGTGAACCCATGTAACATATTAAGGCCTAATGCTATATAGGATTGACAAGGGTGGGCTAAAACCTAGATAAAATAGGCATGTAGGCTAAACCTTTGGTTGTTTAGCATAATTGGGCCAATCTAAGTCAGTTGAGTAACATGTTAGAGAGCATCATGGGGTAATGCTATTAAAGAGGCTCTTGAACTAAGTCCCAAATCCTACCTCGAAAAATTAAAGAGACCGTACATGTCAATTCCTTTATGGTAAAGGATGCATTGAAACCTACAACACTATTCCAAGCTTTCAATAATGAGCAAAGATGTGAAAAAATAAAAGAAGATAATTATTAACTTGGTAAACTCTTTTAATATATGCAGATTGATGTTCTCTTTGATGATATAATATCTCGGAGAATTTAGGTTGTCATTGATATCTACCAGCAAGATATTCTCCATTAATGTTTCAAAAATATTTGTGACAGATGCATGTAAATAGTTTTTTCCTCTGGAGTTTTTTTCCGGAAAAGAAAATCAGAAATACTGTCATTACCCAAATCTTTGAACTGTTCTTCAGTCAATAAAACGGCAGGTACATATGCCTCCAATGGTTCAAGCTTTTTCCTGGTATAAAATACAAGCATAGAGAACATAGTTTCATAAGCTATACTAAGCAAATAGTTAAATGATACACTGCTATGGTATTAACACTATTTATAATATACACTTCCAAATCTTTGAACTGTTCATGCTATTAGAAGATAGAAATTACTGAGGTTTTGCAGTAAAATTTCCAAGAAAAAAAAAATCAGACGAAGTAATTTCTCATGGAAATTTGGCAATTAGCTAATTTTAGATAAGATTTAAGGCAATGAGGCATTCTCCCTCATTTTCATCACTGTTTCTTAACCCCCAGCTTCAGAACGTATTGATTGATGCTTGGCAAGCACATTGTATATTTCTTTACACAACCTAAGGTTATCCAGCAAAAAAAGCTGCTTGTGCAGAGAAAGGTTAGCAAATGCAGTACAAATAACAGTTAACCATCACCAGACTTTAATCCACACAAGATTCCCCTAAAAAATAAAAATAACAAACAATATACTCCATTATTTACTGCATTTTCTGCAGAAGATAACAAAAGGAAATATAATATTCATTTTTGGAGGATTCTTTCAGTCTAAAAGAAAGACATTTTTGGTTTAGTATTCTCTAGATAACAAATTATGTTATTCATAATAAAATTATCTATCAAGTATAGTATATTTGGTTCAGATGTTAATAAAATAATGAAATGTTTGTAAATTTTTCTTTTTGACATTATATATTTTATTCATTAAATTTGACCAAGAACTAGCTATCATCAAAATAAAACTTAACTTACATCTATAGTATTATTATTTAAAGATTACACAATCAAATAGCTTACATTTTGTAATGACATAATAGTCCATAACATATGCAAATGAATTAAACAACTTAGTGAAAATATTGCAATTAACCAGATAGACAGAAATTGTACGCACCTCTTAACATACTTGTCGAAAGGGCTACCTGCAGCTGCACCTGTAAAGAAGGACAAAGCCAGCAGAGAACATTACCAAGAATTAATTTAGACTGTCTTTAGATTCTAAGAATTTGAATGAAAAGAAATGAAAAAAAAAACAAGGGTTTAAAATTTAAAGCAATGGTTGAAGATTCAAAATCAAGCCGTAAACTGTTGAGATTTCTTTTCATTCAAAGCAGGGGGAAGATATACTACTTTTAGAGGAAACGGAAAGGCAGTGGAGGAAAAGGACGGCTAGCGCGGCGGAACGCCGGCCAACAGGAGGTGGCCTCCGGCTGGTGGACAGTGAGGAATGTGATGGTGACGAGCAGATCACTACGAGGCGGCAATGACTTCGTATCAAGCAAAGATTTTGAGAGGCAAAGTGACGGAGGGTTCTGCCATGGGAGAGAGCTCGCGCGCTTTGAAGGGCTGAAGCCATGCGAGTCCCTGGCTTCGACGCGGAATACACTGTGGGATAGAATTATCCGCGCTAACATACGAAGTTCGGGTTAAAAATACGAGAAAATGAGAAATTAGGGAGACTTGCATCATATTAGGAAAATTTACATACACACCACTCTATTTTATGTTATTTACATATTTAACATTCAAAATAATAATATTACATATCTACCACCCATATAATAAATATGGATGCATGAAATAAAATATTAAAATTTATAGGGTGGTATAAGTGGTAGGAATGAAATATAGTTTTGTTATATTTGATATCAAAGTTGTATGTGAGTGATAGACTTGTAATATTAATCTTTTAAGTATTAGATATATAAATAGCATGAAATAAAGTGGAATGTATGTAAATCCTCCATATTAATATTACAATTATACCACCCAAATTTCTAATTTACCTCAAATCTACCACTCCGTCTCCCGCAAGCTCACCACGTCTTCTTCCCATCGAAATCCCCCCTTCGCGTGCTACGGCTTTAACTTCCCGCGAGCTATGTACCGGACATCTCCTCACAATATAAAATCTACCTTGTCGTGAACTCCTCGTCACACCAAGCATGCTCTGTTCTAGAGCATCCTCGTCACACCGACCTGCATTTTGCTTCATGCAAGATTGATCTACATACACTAAATTTGCATAAGAAATTCTTTCATCATACATTAATTACACTCATCAACTTAACTTGTTCTTACAATGAAATTCTAAAGTTACATACCACCATAGTTGTTCCAGATCATCTGATGGAAACAACATAGAAAATCATCAATTTAAAATAGTTCAAAAAATAACAGCTAAACTGATAATAGAAGCTTCTTCAAGTGAGATTCCATCTCACAACATAGAATATGTCATGAAGAAGTTAATGATTGCAAATGGCATCATATAACAACAACATTGTTGTACAAGCACAAATGCACGCAACTGCACTTTGGGAATTATAGACCATGAGGTGCGAACTCTAACTGATTTAACGCAACTGAGAGCACACAATAGAACTCACATTCCTTCCAAGATGCGAACTCTAGCTTCATTCCATATGCGAGCTCACCTTCTTCACTTCTCCAGGAGATCTCAGAAGTTTAAACCTAATGTGCAAAAAAGGGGGGAGAAGACATCGTGCTCTACGGGAGACGAAGTGGTAGATTTGAGGTAAACTATGAATATGGGTAATATAATTGTAATATTAATATTTGATGTGTTAGATATGTAAAATAACATGAATATAGTTGTATGTATGTAAATCTGCCAAGAAATTATTGTGTTCTGGAGTCCGGAATTAGCTCTACCTCCATACTCCAATAAAATTTTAACATATGGATATACTCAAATGAAATCCTTAAAAATGAATTGGACACATTAATATTCAAGATGAATTTTATATTTTATTTCTATCTTATCAGACTGAACAACCCGATTAATATGAATTTCATATTTTATTTATGTCTTGCAGTCTGATCAACCCGGACCAGAGGCCTAGTCCAGAGGTTAAAATTTTGAATTCATAAGAGATAAAAAATCTCATAGTAGGTTCACTTTGACTCTTCGCATTCATTTTTCATCTTCGTCATTCATTGTTCACTTTCAGATTCGATATTCTAGACGATTCAATATTCAGCTACATGCAGGCGCTAAGTTCATCATTCACCAACAAGGTTAGTCTGTCATTCTCTTCAGTTCATCTACAAAGAGAGTTTTTTTTTTTTTTTTTTTTTTTTTTTTTTTTTTTTTTTGCTTATATCTCAAAATGGGTTTTAGGGTTTTTAGGGTTTAGGATATTTGCTTGTCATTTTATAAGTTAGACAGTAAATCTCCAAAGAACGAGAAATTATTATTGTGTATTAACTGTGTATCTTTTTTGAACTGTATATTAAATGCATATGAACTGCTTATTTACTATATATTTACTATGTATTCATTATTATCGACTATGTATATGTTGTGTATCGATTGTCTTCCATTTCCAAAATTATGTTGCATAGTTTTCAAAAAATTTTGAGTTATTTTTGTTCATTTTGTGAATCTTTTTCGAATTACATATTTGTAGTGTATGAACTGTTTATTTACTACTTATTAAATGTGTATTTATTGTGTATTAACTACATATTTTTTGTGATATTGCATATGTATGTTCGGGCTATTACTTATCATTATTATGTATCAAGTTTTATAACAATCTATGACTCTTTCGTCGAGATAATAAACAAGGATGTAGAGGACACCTTGAAGAGAAACATCAATCAATTTTTTAAATTTCCACCATTCTTGCAAAATGTTCCGCTGATATTTGAGCTACTCAAATTTTGAGATATTCCTCAGCAATGTTTTATCATCAAGGGTCATATGATAAAGTTCATCTCAGATGAAGTGGCTCTGCTTACAGGATTGACAATCAAATGTATTGAGATTTACTAGTAGAGTGAGCCACTTACAAGATACAGATGAATGGATATTAAGAGTGAAATAATAAAAATCAATAGATCAACTGACCCTTCCATTATATTGAAGATAATTATCATATTTTTGTTGTCAAATTTATTTATTCCCTTAATAACTACAAAACCCCATGAAGACTCCTTACTATTATAAATAATATTTATGAATTTTTATCTATTAACTAGGTCTGGGCTAGGGGTGTCAATTCGGGTCAACGGATCGGGTTTGGGTCAAACCTGACTTTAACCCGGCTATAAATGGGTTGACCCTAACCCAACCCAATTTGCAAATGGGTCACGTTTGTAAAACCTAGACCCGACCAATATGGGTTACCGGGTTGACACAACCCGACCCGCGAACATCTGCGGAGCCGAGCAAATTGGAGGGTCGAAGACTAGGTGCCTGGGCCTGCGGAGTCATCTTCCGTCGAGTAATCAAGGTCCGACCGTCTGAGGCTATGGAGGGGGAGTGGAGCAGGTCCATCGAGTGCAGAGCTGTGGATATCCAAAAGGACACCACCGGCTGTAGTGCAGAGGGTATACAACCGCACCACCCTGAGGGATAGAAATGATCGTAGGACTTCGCGCTCCTCGCAAATGGGCAAATGAAAGGTTAGATTAGATCATACATATGACTAACCATTGGGGTTAGTGGCTCTCGCCAGCGCATCCCAATGAGAAGTAATATATACGACCTAATCATAACAACGAATTTCTTTCACCCTATATATCAACTCGAGTAGGATTTATTTAATGGTGGAGTTCTATTTTCCACGGGCGTAAGCCCCCGTGGTTAATTACATCTCGAGCCTAGGGATTGAGAAAATTCTCGATTAAAGATCAAATATTATTTTTCCCAAAAAGGGAATTGGCACGAAATGGGAGACTAGGAAATCCTACTCAAAATGGAAGGAATGACTCAACTCAGCTTAGCCAATACATAGGGTTCATACCAACATCCGAAGGGACTAAGTCATTGATGAGAGAAAGAGAATCATACACTCAAAGCATATAGAGGGGGAAGGATAGAAGTGACGTCATCTACGTGATGTAGATAGGCAAGATTTATAGCTCTATAAGAGAATGAGACTTACCCATCGATGAGGCATACTACGAGACATCAAATATAATAGCCTTGAATCCTAAATTTAGGGTGGGTTTAGTGTTCTACCTAACACTAACACTCGTATCCTAACTAATGCAATGAGGTCTTATATCCCGCCTGAAAAGGAAAACCAACTAACCACCTAAGTGCTTAAAATCCATGTTATACAGTCTTTATAAAAAATAGGTAGGTAGTTTAGTATTTTGGAATTAAATAGGGCCGACGTCTAGAGAGTTTCCTAATTGGCCCTAAACTTATATAAGGTGAATGCTCCTAGAGCTAATGCAATTAGAGTTTTAATTTAATAATTTTTTAATGTAATGCATACTAGTTAAAAGGTCTAAATCATGTATGATTAAGATTTTAAAAAATAGGCTTATAAAAAATAATTTTAGAAAAGATTGGGTCTCCCTAGATACGACACTTCATCCTCATATGCTAGATTATTCGTACTCTACCCGCAGGCAGGGAGGTATCTTATTAGAAGGAGAGAGAAAATGTATTGATATGCATGTGACCCCGAATGATTCCAATAGTTCCATAGATCATTAGATTTCTATGTTATTTAATTTTTAGAATTTTGAATATTAATTACGAGTAGAAAATATTTTTCATCCTAAAGAGCCTAGCAAAAAAATCAGTCCATACACATGTAAGTAAGAAACCTATAAAAAACGAACAAGTTCTACTGTACAATCAATATAAATCCAAAAAAAGTAAAGTAAGAAAGTCTACGGCAAGTGCCGTATAAGTACAACCCATGGTCTACAGAAAAGTAATAGTGGCCATGTCCCACCGATAATAACTTGGATTCTAATCATATTGAATGATGCAAGTCTTAAAAGCCAGACATTTAGACTTCAAGTCTCTATTTTTGAGTGGATCGCCCTTCTCTAGATCATCTCCTTTTGGATCGTCTCCTTCGGGCTCCATATAATTCGTCATCTGGAAGGGTACCCAAATGACTAAGAAATTCCTAATAAAAGGCCTTTTCTTATTCTCTTTGGGCACCTTATATTTGAAATGTCAGACTTTTAAAGACTTTCCAAACTAAATGCAAATTACAACAAATTACATTATAAAAAAGAAAATATAGACTCGGACTCCTACATGATTATCCTAATAAAATATTCCAAGCAATTGATATAATTGAAAGTTCATTTGGGATGTTAAGCCCTATGAACTTAGTCCCAAGCTAACCAAGAGGGGGGGGTGAATTGGTATTTTAAAATTTCTTTTCAACAAAAATAATAAGATCACAAACCAAAACCAAATCACACCACAAGACAAAAACAATACGGAAATTAAAGTGCAGAAGCAAGAAAACAATAACACAGAAATTTATAGTGGTTCGGTCAACTTGACCTACGTCCACTCCCCGGAGGCGCCCTCCGAGTATTGCACTACACTCGTGACTCTCCTTTAGCCCCACAGCTAGGCGGAGAAGCCTTTACAAAGAGCCTCCTTTTTGCCACCCCGACAAGGCAGAGAAC